TCAGCCATAACTTTTGTGTTTGATAAGATTAATATCCATCCCCCCCGTTGTTATCCTGTTTCAGAATTTTCTGGGTAATTACTGCATATGTGCTGTTATTCTAGAAAGTCTGTAAAATAACACTGTCCAGTTCCATCTCCTGCATTGATAGTCTGATTGCAACACCAGTGTGTGACTGCATTCTTTGAGAAGAACCATACTTTTAGGCTACTGCACCTTTCCATTTAGGAACAGACTGTGGACCTCCCTGATTCCTCCCCTGATGGATGTGTCACTCAGGATTCTAAATTCTGAAGAAAACAACTTTTACTAGTTTTCCCCTAGAACATTTTATCCCCCAATAGTTTACAGATACTCTAAGAGGGCTAGAAACCAAGTGTGGGGCCTAAATGCCTGCCTTTCTGACCCAGCGCAGTCTAAAGTCTGGGGCAGTCCTCTCTCATGGGTGGAACACATACTTACTTGCTGCAAGGGATGCTGGGAAAGCATTGCTGGAGAAGACAGGAAACTCATAGGTGAAGGTTTCCTAAACCAAACAGAATGACCCTCAACTCCCTACACATGGGTTCTTGCTCTTCAATCACGTCTTATACATTACTCAACATAACTCATTTAGTTTTTGTGTTTGTTTCTAAGTACTTTGTAAGTGTTGTTGCTATGAAGAGAATTTTTGCCATTTTTATTTTAACTGTTTTTTACCCATATCATTTTTATTATAACTAATGGAACAAGTACTCTCATTAGTTGTATTAGTTTTTAAATATAGTCTCTTAGGTTTTAGATATTTAGTGATCTCTTTTAAAATAAAGGCAATTGTACCTTTTCTAATGTTTATGCAGCTTATAATATTTTCCTATTGCATTAGCTAAAGTCCCTAAAACAAACTGGAAATGTGGTGATGGTTATGGATAGCTTGGTCATGTTGTGATCTTAATGGAATTGCCTTTAGGGTTTCTCTAGTTAAAATGATGTTTGCAATTCACTGTGGTAAAGTATTATCAGGTTTAAATAGTTCTCTCCTATTCTTAGTTGACTTGGAGGAAAGCTCACTTCTAGCTGAAATTCTGTACACTTTGATCAGCATGTACACTGTTGGTGGAGGTGTAGGTTATTACAGCCAGTACAGACAACAGTGTGGATGTTCCTCAGAACACTAAAATAGCATTGCCATATGATTTAGCTCTCCCCCTCTGAGCGTATACTCAAAGGGTATGAACTCAGTGTGGCAAAATACATCTACATTCTCACGCTCGTTGCTATTCACAGTTGCTGACATGGGAGCAAACGAAGTGTCTTTCATCGGAGGAATGGATAAAAATATATATGTGAGATATATAAAATAATATGTGAGATAAAATAATATGTGAGATATATAAAATTTAGCTTTAAAAAGAAAAATGTTTGTTATTTGAGACACCATGCATGGACCTGGAGGATCTTATGCCAAGAGAAATGTCAGGCACGGAAAAGCGAACACTGTGTGATCTCACTTAAACTGGAATCTCAAGAAGGTTGAACTCACAAAAGAAGAAAGTAGAAAAATGACTGCTAGATTCTAGGAGAGGGAATGGATAAAGAAAGGGAAGGTGATGATCGAAGGAACAAAGTTTCAGTTAGAAAAAATAAGCTTTAATAATTATTGCAGAGAACAGCGAATGTAATAATAACATACTGTGTATTCCAACATTGCTAAGGATATATTTTAAATGTTTTTACCCCAAAGAATGATGTGTGTGAGGTGATAGACTTGTTAGTTAGCTCGATTTAATCATTCCACAACATAAAATAAACATCAAGATATCCCAGCTTATCACAATATATATTTAAAAAATAAAACTGGATAAAGAAGAGAAAAATCAACTCAGAACAACAAGAAGGAAGGAAATCATCATGTTACGAGCAGAAATCAGTGAAATAGAAAAGAGACTCCAGTCTCTTTCCATTCTCTTTTCTCCAGAAAAGAGAATCCAGCTTCAGTCTGGATGAATTGGTTTTATAGGTAGTCTACATATTTGTCACGCAAGGACATCTTTTTCTCACTATCTTATAATTTCTTTTATCTCTTTTCTCGGTTATATCCCTTCTTTTCTTTTTTTCTCCCCTTGGCCTCATTCCTTATTTTGGTGAGCTACCTCCTCCAATGCTTTCCTGGCTAAAATTAAAAAGATTGAAACTGCCAGGTATAAGCCAGGTTGTAGAGCCAGGAGAACACAGTGCTAGTGTAAAGTAGTAAAATTACACTGGAAATTTCTCATGCACTATCTGTTAACACTGAAGGTCTCCAGAGATCCAATAGCTTCATTCACTAGGCACATTATCCCCCAAAGAAATGTGTATGTGTATGTGCCAAGAGACAGGTGCAGGATGTCATAGTTGCATTAGTCTTAGGTGCCCCAAACTGGCAAAAACCAAGATGTCCATCCGCAAGAAAACTGGCATATAAGTGGCAGCGTATTTATGCAACGTATTACGGTATAGTAGAAAACTACAGGTACATGCAACAGCATGGCTGGGCAAAAATGAAAAAGCCAGTGTCTAAAATTAGATATAATTACTTGCTCCATAGACAAAATGAGATACTGTTCTATTGCCTATGCCATAGACAGAAATGTTTAGGTCCAGCATGACCAAGCATTGGTGAGCATAATGAGGGTCAACCTGAGCTGCCATACCTATCAGTGGAGGTATGGTTTGTTTGAATATTTTGAAAACAATTTGACCTTTCTTGGAAATGTTGTAAAACACAGGGCAACGTATGGGCTTGCTCCATGGGTCTCCTTCTGGGGCTCAGGTTGGAGGACTACCAGCTCCCTGAAGCCTGGTTGTCTTAGTTACCTTCTTCTCATTGCTGAAACAAAATACCCAATGCCCGAAGTTAAAGGGTGAAAGGTTTATTTACCTCACAGTTGGTAGAGATTTCAGTCCATAATCAGCTGGCTCCAAGGCAGGATGACATGGCAGAGAGGCATCACAGAGGAAAAACAGTTGGTGGTGGGCAGAAGGTAAAAAAGCAACAAGGGACAACTGCAGCTCTTTCTATCCCTTATATCTTATCTAGGCTACTTAGGGTGGGCAGCACTCACACACTTAATCTTAGTGCCCTTGATCCTAGCATTGCACCATGAATCAATCCCAGTGTCACACACTCTAGATCCAGCTACCTCTGAAAAAGCCCCACCTGTGACTGCACAAGGCTTTGAGGGGACATCTAGATGCAAACCATAATACTAGGTGTGTCTTCTCTTGTTGAAGGACAATTTCTGGGAAGGGGATGCAGAAATGTGAAGCCTGTTGAGGTCTAGGCTCACAAGTTATCACCTCTGCCCATATTTTGCTGGTGAAAGCCAGTCACCAAATCCACCTGACTTCTGCTTTGAAATCAATGCAGGAAAACTGAAAAGCACAACGTAGCATTCCTACAAAAGTGAAAGGGAAAGAGCCCTTTAAAATTGCAAATGTAGGTGAGGATCAGAATGTAAGAGCCAGCAGGAGTATGATGGAAAGGGTATTTGGTGGGTCTTGTCCTGGCCAGCAAAGTTCCAGTGAATGAAAAAGCAAAAGGAAAATCTAAGAACCTGGTCTAAAGCAGTGATGGATGGGCTCCACCCGAGTGTGCACAGCTCCATGGGCGATGGCCCCTCTGCAGGACACCTCCACATGTCACGGTTCTGAGGATGCTGCGTACCCTACATCCAGCATTTAGGAATGGTAGACCCATTGACACATGGAGGTGTCACAGCATCTTCCTTTGTAATACTTCACACAATGAAAAATCATTTGTGGCAGTTATAGTTGATCAATATTTGTCTAAAAATACTTCTAGTTTGAGTTAGCTGGTATAAAACTTCTATCGTTATTTACTGAAAAGTAGGGTATCTCCTAGCCTCAGGTTTCATGTTATGTGCTATGTTGAATAAAATCCTACACTTAACCCATGTTATCTGTTTCATAGCCAGGGCTTTGTTTTGTTGAATCTGCCTTCCTCTCAAGCACGAGTAACTGTGATATTTTCCTCATCACTGGGACTTTGGTCTAACAATATTTAAAAATGTTCAGAAGCATTTTTTTCCTTCTATCATTCTTAATTTTCTAAGCCAGACAGCTTATTTACTCAGGATTTACTGAGCACTTACAATTCATCAGCATTCTCAATACTGTAAAGATAGCATGTAACTGTGGATAAGGCAAGGATGGAAAAACAGACAGGACTCAATGATGGAGTTGGAGTTAGATTTTAGTGGATGAATAGGAGTTTGATAGTCCAGCTGGGCATAGTGGGGCACCCCTGTAATCCCAGCACTTAGGAGGCTGAGGCAAGAGGACAGTTGTGAGTTTGAGGATGGCCTGAGCTACAAAGTGAGTTCAAGACCAGCCTGAACTGCATAATGAGACCTTGTCTCAAAAAAAACTTTTTGAAAAAAGGACTTTGATAGCCCATGAAGTAAGACAGGAAACTTCTGATCATGACAGAAATATGAATCAAGGCCCGGCACTCATAAGGCTGAGGCAAGAGGACTGCTGTGAGTTTGAGGCCTGCTTGGGCTACATAGTTCAAGGCCAGCCTGGACTACACAGTGAGACCCTGTCTCAAAACAAAACAAAGCAAAATAAAACCAAGGCTTAGATACTACATCTCTGTGTGTAAATCAGTATAGTGATTTTCGTATTACTTTTATCTCTGTCTGGAACTTACAGTTTCGATTTCCTCAAATGTACTTTCTTTTTTTTTTCACTGCTTTTTAAAATAAGGAACTGAAGTAATTCCTGATGGTGTTTGCCTGGGTCAACAGAAGTCATCTTGGCTTGATTACTTAAAGATAACTGGCGTAACTCTTTCAACTGGACCATCTTTACTTATTCATTTACTTTGCGCTCCTCACGCATGCTATGAAGCTGTTCAGCCGTTGACCCCATGTTCTTAATTGTCCTGCGTGCTGTCGCGTGCGCTCCCGAGGGCCCAGGGCCTTGCTGACGGTGACTTTTCTGTGTCCTCTGCCTAGATCAAGTTTGACAGCGTGGAGGTGTGTGTCTGCTGTGAGCTGCAGCACCAGTCTTCTGGCTGCAGCAACCTCGGGGAGACCCTGAAGCTGAACCCGCTGCAGGAGAACTGCAACGCTGTGAGGCTGACCTTGAAGGTGACCCCTGGCACCGCTGCCTAAGCGTGCACTTCCCCCACACGTCACAGACACTTTAGGGAGATTTATTAACATATAGATGCCTTCTCACTCATCATTCGTCCGGGTGGGTTCGACACCAGAGGAGCTATCATTCCGGAGAGCTTGTGAAACGGCTGTAGATCTCCATCTGGAAGATGTTGCTCTCTGGATCTCTTTTTCCATTTGGCCATTTCATTTTCCCTCCTCTGACATATACAAAGCGGGATCTCAGTGGCGGACAGTCTTCTTTACAAATGATGATGCGCTGCGTCCTGTTGCGCTTCTGACATTTTTGCTGTAACATCATCAGTGAGCAGATGGGTATTTATTTTGCTCTTAAAAAGATATTTGAAAAAAATATCTTACAATCCACGGCAGTCTCTTCTCTTTTAAAGGCATCTGATCTTGTCAGAAAAGGACACCGAAATGATGTTTATAGTATTGCCCTTTCTTTCCTTCTTACAAATGTGTTTTTTTTTTTTTTTAATTCCTGAAAAACCAAAATTGGCTGCTTTGAAATACATGTAACGGATGAGCCCCATTCTTTTCTTTCCGTGAATATAGCGGCACGATATCTGCTTGGAAAGGTGTAGCGTGGCCAAAGGAACTGCTGGGTGGCAGTAAGATTGTATTTACCGTCCACAATGAACCCTCCCATGGGTACAGGAAACAGCAGTATGTTAGGAATCCAGGAGCCAAAGAGAGCCACCCGGAACCTGGAGAAAAAGCAGAGCTGCTGCCTGCAACTGAGTACTCATGATGGTCCTCGGAGGGTGGTCAGCGGCTGTGAGCCAGGCAGAGATGCACAGAGAAAGGGTGCATCTAACCCATGAGGCGGGAGCAGGCCTGGAGCCCTACACCTGCCTTGCCTTGCATAGAAGGGTGGTCTGAATTCAAGGTCTTAGCAGCCCCCACCAGAGAGACAAAGCAGCCAGAAGCACAGCACTCCAGGACCCCACCCTGTATGGAGCGCAGCATTTCTTTCTCCCCCACATTGCATACAGGCACAGTTTACCCCACACCCCGTCCTCGGGCTGCCCAGGGCCTTTCACAGCCATCTTGGGAAGGTTGTGAGCAGCCATCCCTTACTCTGAGATCTCATTCTGACAACTCCTAAATTACCTCTTCAGTATGGGTGTGTTTCCTTTTCATATTTACAAAGCAAAACAAGGCCATAGGTAATTGTAATCACAGTGTAATCTCCTACGTCTAGGAAGAGCTGACAATCCCCAGGGGGGTTGTCTAGCTCTGAAACCCATTTGTGTGTGTTAATCTTTCTGTCATTATTTTTAAAATACCCCAGATAGTCACCCAATCAACTTACATGAGAAAAAGGTGGTGTTTTTTGGAGGGTCAGTTTTATTTATTTACATTTTGCTCACAGTTTTGGAGGTTCTGATCCCTGATCCGGTAGCCCTGTCCTGCTCTATGCCTATGGGAAGGCAGCACATCATGTCAAGTTTACTGCATTTCAAGGCAGGGAGTAAAAGAGAGAAGAGCAGGACCCACAGCCCCTCGGAAGAGACACCTCCACTGACATAAGGTCTTCCCACAAGGCTCCAACTACCTCCTAATAGCATCCCTTGGGGACCAAGTCTTCAACAGATGGATCTTAGGGACACGCATCCAAATTGTAACAGTGTGGGAGTTTAGCCTATAAATTACCTCCTACTCTTCAGCTAATGGATTATAAGTTATTTGATCTGATCCCACAAAGACTTAGAGTTCTTCTGGACACTATTACTCAGTGGGATTCAAGACCCATTTCTATGAATCTCCAGTCCTTGAGAAGGGGACAGTGGCTTCAAGGTGTTGGAAAAATAATGCTGTCTCTACAATTGCAGACTCAGGCCTATGGTGAGCTGGTGACCTTATGATGGTCTTACCCTTATTCATTATTCTAGTCCCCTGATGAGGAAAGCTTCTGGTATGATGTAGTCAAAGTGGAACAAAGTAAGGAATACTGAAGTCAGGGAGTTCAAGTCAAGGTTGACAAGTTGAGCCTAGTCAGTGGCTCTTCTCAATGGATGTTCAAATTTCCCAGGACAATGGTAAGAGTTGAAGGCAAAGTAATGACTTTTCCAACATATTTACTTAATTTGTGGGAAAAAATTAATTAGAGATGGTGACTGTCAAAGCTAGTGGTATGAGGCTCAAAGAAAGCAGAAATTATTTTTGAGGTAGGAGGCCAGTGGTATCAAGGGAGAAGCTTACGTGTTATGAAAGGGGATAACCTGCCCTTCTATCCCCAACTGAGGGCTTACACAGGCAGCCATGAGCAGTGGCCTTGGGGGTCAACTCTGAGTTTTATCTGAGATCAAGAGGATAACGGACTATGGGAAGTGAGCTATATTTCCCATACTGTTTCCTGCTGTCCTCCAAGTTTGTTATGTTCTAAAAATACTTTGGCTACCCTGGGTCCTTTGCATTTCCATATACATTTAGATTGAGCTTGTCAGTTTCTACAGAAATCCTGATGGCATTTCAATTGAGATTTCATGGACTTCATATATCACTTTAAAGAAAATTGACATATTCGTAATGTAGCTGCCCATTTATTCAGGTCTCCTATTTCATCCCTATTTCTTTCTTTCATTGGCATTATATAGTTTTCAATATATAGGTCTTAACATACTTTGCAATATTTAATACTTAAAGCATCTCACATTTATTGGTGCTGTTGTTATGGAACTTAAAATCATTTTTTATTCACTGCCTGTGTATTGAAATGGCCTTTTTACTGATCTTATATCATGTGATCTTGCTAAACTCACTTACTAATTCTCATAGTTCTTTTATTATATTCTTTTGAATTTCCTGTGTAGACAATCATGTGATATGCAAAGAGTGACAATTTTACATCTTCCATTCTATGTTAGGGTTCTCCAGAGAGACAGAACCAAGAGAATATGTGTAGATATGGAATAGGAGAGGGGATTTATTAGAGAAATTGACTCACATGATTATGGAGGCCAAGAAACCCGATAATAGCCTGTCTTCAGACTCTTGGGTGCTGGTAGCCTGAGTCAGTCCAAGTCCACAGGTCTTAGAGCCAAAGAAGCCAGTGATGTAACTCTCCATCCCAGGCTGAAGTCCTCTGAACCCACGGGTCATTGGTATAAGTCCTGGAATACAAAGGCTAAGAGTGCATGGAGCTCTGATGTCCCAGGGCAGAAGAAGAAGAGTTCCAGGAAAGAGGGTACAAGAATGAGCCTTTCTTCTGTCTTTTGTTCTGTCTGCTCCCCGCCCAGTTGCATGGTGTCTACCCATGTTTAGGTTAGATTTTCCCATTCAGTCCACTCAGATTCACACACAAGCCTCCTTTGGAAACACCCCAAACACACTAAGAAATAATACTTCACCAGTTCATAATTGATATCAGAAATGAATCATGAGTTCTAAGCTTTGCAGAGATACCCATTATTGGATTGTGAACACTCACTCCTGTTGTTAGTCTGTTGAATGTGCTTACTGTGAGTAGATGTGGAATTTTGTCAAAGTGTTTTCTGCATGTGCTTAGATGTTCTTATACTTCATCTCTTGTGCTCTGGTAATGTGATTATTAGCATTGATTGACACCCAGATAGTGAGCCAGCCTGACCATTTTTCCAGCAGCCGTGAATGACCCTCCCCAGAGAAGGCATTTTTCATTTCTGTGACTATGGTTTTTTATGGTTCTACCATGTCTTCTTTATAGCTTGCATCTCCTGGCCAAATGACCTAATTTATCTTTCATATTGTCCACCTCATCCACTAGAGCTGGTGTCTGAGGGCCTCTGCCCCAGATAAGTGCTCGTGTCTTTCCTTGGAGGGGCCACCTCTTCCTTAGGATTTAGGTTAGGTGGCTGACCCATCATCTCAGCTGTCTGATGGGCTCAACTTAATTTGGGAATTGGCAGCATCCAGGGTCCTTCCTGTATTCATGAGCCAATGCTTTTCCCGGCTTTCTACACACTAAGCAAAGTATCGAATCATGTTCCACATGATTTTTCCCACAAGTACAGACTTCTTGAGGAATATTTTTTCCATTTTAGGAGCTTATAGATGACATATCATTCTCTTTTGACATGAAATATTTACACAGAGAAAAATTTTAATTTATTCATAGCATTTTTTCTCTTTTAGGTATCTTATGGTCACTAATGTTATTTTAAAATATTTTTATCTTTTATCTACATTGTATAATTGTACTTCTTAGCCCTTTTATAGCTGCGGAGGGCCAAGAGAAGAAAATTTATATTTACTTCTTCTAAGCCAGGGTTTTTACCTGGGGTATGAGGTTCTTCAGAACTCTTTCCATCTGGCACAGTAATTGGAAACTATACATGTGGGTGCACCATCAGCCTGGGTTACTACAATAAGCAGAGCCTCCTGCAATTTACCCACAATAGATATATGCTATCATTGATACAATTTTGTTGTTTTAATCCGCGAACATTTGGGGGCTATTTGTTACCACAACATAACCTAGTCCATATTGTCTAGTACAGAGATATTTCTTTTGATTCAGATTTCAATTGTACCTTTTTAGCTATCAGATCCATCAACTTTACTGTGAAGTATCTTGATAACTATACACAGACTATGATTGGCATCTTGCTACATTTCAGAAAAGTTTTTCTTGAACTTTATAATTTAAGTTTTTCTTTCTCTTTGAGGACAATGGTGCACTTTTAGGATCACTTTTATTAGTCTTTCAAAACTACCCTTTTTTATTTTAAAAACTCTTCCTTGTCCATTTCATTTTGCTCAATTTTTAAAAATCTCTCTTCTGAGCTGTATTGTCTGCTGCCTGTTGCCTTTTAGGTCTGTATTCGCTGTGAGTTTGAGTTCTGGCAGCTACCTTCTCAGCTTTCTGTGTCTTCGTCCTTTATTCCTCGAGCCCTAGTATCTCAGCATTTAGCGTGTAGACCGCAGCAGCTTTCTTCCTGTTTGGTCACAGTTTTCACCCATCGATGTCTCTAGCTAGGTGATTACTT